GAGACTTTCAGAATTAATACACCAGACCTTAAATCTTTTTGTTGTTCTCCAAAAGAATGGGTTTATGACGCATCAAAAGACATCTTGAGAACTGCTGGAGCAACAGATACCATGTAAGGAGTGAATTCCCATGTTTTTCACTTATATCGAGGGGCCTACTTATTTAGGAGGTTTTCTAAGTAAGTGTATTTAGTTGTAGGACCCTAGAGTTGCCTAGGTCCATTCTATTCTAGCACATACTCAACATACTGCCAGAGCAAATGTAGGTTGTAGATTCAGGCAAACACACACACACACACACATACACACACACAAAACCCTGAAGAGCACAATGAGCATTAGCACAGCCAATTTAAAATGATGAGGTGTTAACCACATTTGTATAAATAATAGTTTCTCTAACCCTGAATCATTATCCTGCATTTTTAATGCAATCGGTTCATAAACATCAAAGTGAAAATACCAAATTTGTAAGAGGTCAGGACCAACTGGGGCTCTAAATGGAGAGACAGCTGAGAGCTGTGTCCGTATGTGTGGGTGGCCTTGCAGCTGTTGATTCACCCTCAGGCTACCAGACAGTTGCCTCTTTGCACTTGCAGAACCAGACTTCAATCTTAGGTAAAAATGTATCCCTCCCATGGACAGGACATAAACAATAGATTGACATCAGCTTTGAAAATATCAGTGCGGCAGCCAGACTCAGCAGTTGCCCTGAAATACTGAGAAGTACCAATCATAACATCAAGACTGTTTCTACACAATAATATTTGTCTTTGTACAGCAACACTGGGTTCTCTTAAGTATATTATAAATATAAAAGCTCAAAGTCCAAAAGGTTCAATGTGATGATATCTTTGTCTACAAATGGCAGGAACACTAGGATGGATTGCATGAGACATGACTGCCGTATCTTGGTCCTTACTAGGATTCCCAAATATACTCCTTAATAACCAGTAAAATTATATTTACACTGAACATTTTAAGAAATGCCAGTGTTTGTTGTTGGATGAGAGACAGCATAATTTTGGAATCACAACTGAGTTCAGAGTTCTGTTTTGAGTCTTACTAGCTTTGTTTCCTTGTGTAAGTTTCTTAACCTTTGTAAGGCTAGCATATAAATCAGATATAATAATATATAGTTCATGGTATAAAGATTGGATTAATGTATGCAGTGTCTATCTAGCACAGTGCCTGATATGTAGTAGAGTGTCAAGAGATGTTCTCTCTTATGCATTTGGAAGATCAAGTGCGGTGCTGCGCCTATAGGTTTCCGTTCATTTCTCATCTATGTAATTGTGAATGTTCCTTTTCTAGATAGAATTCCCCCCGACAAAAGTTTAAAGTCTAACAGGTGGTAGGTGCTTATTGAGGCCCAGCAATTCTACTTCTGGAAACCTTCCTCAGGAAAAGATCCCGATGACAGAAAATGCTGTGTGAACAGTATTATATAGAATTGTTTTTAATAGCAAGAAATTGTTTAAAACTTACAAGTTCAGTGATATGAGGACATTTACATAAACTATCATGAAGACTGATGAAAACACAGTGTCAATGATATGTTAACTGAAAAAGTAAGATTGAAAACATTATGGATAGTATAAGTTTCTTAAATGCCAACAATGCATGAGGTGAATAGAATAATACTTTTTTTAAAGAATGTAATTTTTGACAGTCTGAAAAGCCTTATATTGAGAAAAATGATCCTGACATTTAATGAGACACTAAAACATTTTTTATTTTTTCCTTACTTATTCTGTTCTAGAATCCAAACTCTAAATACTGTTTAATAGAGTACTATTGATACTAGCTATATTTGATGACTGTATGAAGAGTCCTATTTGCTAGAATCCTACTTTATCTTTTAAGGTTTGCTAATTACCCTGCAATGAATGTTGAACATAAAAAATTTGACTCCCTTTCCATGTGTCCACTGTTTCCTTGTGCCTCTTGATTAATAAAACTTTATTTTTAAGTGAGAACCACTGTTTTCTTGATGTAAAAAAAAAATCATTGCTATTTTGTTTTTAACCATCCTATTTTGCATAGTTCTATCACTTATTCAAGTAAAAGTTGGAACAGAACATGTGATAATAACAGCAAACATTTAAACAATATTGATTTTATGCCAGACAATATTTAAAGGTTTCATAATGACCCTTAATTCATACCATCTTCCTTATAACCCTGTTAAGTAGATGCTGTTATTGTCCCCATTATACAGATGAGGAAACAAGCAATAAGTTTCGGTAACCTGACCAGGGCCACACAGATAGTATAGTTCAATCCAGGCTCGAGTCACAGAGCTGCTGTACACAATAGTGATTCCTCACATTTTAGATGATATTAATGTCTTATAGAAAATGAGATTCTAGAAATTGAACTCTTCTCTGGAAAGATAAACGGGCATTCAGTATTTTGGTCTCATTTAACCATGACATTAACCTATGGCCAATGGAAGGTAGTAGTAGATGCCATGCTCTTTTGGGTCCTCACTTTCAAGGTGACAAAAGGAACAATGATCATGCCAAAAAGGGTGGTGGCCACATGTGTGCCCAAGCATAGGGCTATTAAGAAGTTCTTTATTCAAAATACAGTAGAGGCTGCAGCAAGTGTCTTCAATGCCTATGTGCTTCCTGAGCTGTATATGAGGCTACATTATTGTGTGAGTTGTGCCATTTACAGTAGGAAGCCTGCAAGAACTGGACAGCCCCATTCCTATTTAGACCAGCAGATGCTGGCACCAAAGCTCATGTAAGGAGCTGAGTCTTTAAGGACTGAAGAAAACTATCCTCTGGAGAAAAGTAAAATGGAAATAGTACTTACAAAAAATTAGTAGATGCCATTAATCAGAAGGTGAAAATTTTCCTGGCCGTGTCAATTTAGAGTTAACATATCACCCCAGGCTGTTGCTGTCAGTTTATTCTGTAACTTGCTACTAGATAATTCATTATAGGTCTTGCCTGAGCATGTCTGATAATTAAAACTTTACATTTGAATTATCTGGATGCTGCAGAAATGGAACTACTTTACTGACGTGGTATCCAATAATTTACTATATACAGCTATGGGTTCTTTATTCCTACGATACAATATACTGACTATTTGCTGCTCTCTGTTACTTAATGACATTAGGTGACTCATAAAGGTGTAAGTGGTTGACATTTTTGCTATTAAGAATTTAAATATTCAAATTATGCTTCATAAATGATTAGAATTTTAGCATGTTATTTCCTAGGAGATAGCAGGTAACTAAAACTTTATAATTAAGGATATCCCATTGCTGTTGTTTTAGCATCTTTTCTAAAAATGCATGTTTTACAATATTTATGTGAAACTAATTTTTATTTGATGTGCAGTAACAACAAATCAATGCAAAACTATAAATTAATGAATAACAGTACAAAGTTGTAAGACATACCACAGCTTTCCTCTAGATGGCATGATTTCAGCTATCATTGAGTCAACTGATAAAAATGTTTTTTCCCTACAACCACATGTATGTAGTTTCTGAACAATCAGTGTAAGTGTGACATTGATTAGATTTAATTGTTACAACTGGTTAAATAACCAGATTGACCTTATAATAGTCTACTGTTTAATGATCTTAAGTAACTTAAAATTATAAGACAAAGTCCTCTTAAAGAAACAAATACAAAACACTTGTTATCTCCAATAACCCAGCAGCCAAAATTATTTGTCTCCTCAGGTCACAATGACATACCCATTTCTGGATTTATTTCTTTGGCAGATATTTCTTTCTTATGGTAGATAGCTTGTTATTTGCTTGGAACAGTAAAGATACTGCCTTTTTACTTAAAAGGACTCATATAGATATAACAAATCTAAAGAGAAACCACAAATTATAGGATTCTTGATTACAAAAAATTTCACATTAACAGGAAACAGTCCCTTCAATTATGTGCAGGTAACTTTCCTGGTGTCCTGGTTTTATGAAGCAGTTACTGTGTGCTAAACAAGAAGGATCAACATGTGAAAAGTCATTATTATGTGACCTGCAAACACCAAACAACAAACAGAAACACTGTTCTTTTTTTTTTCTTTACTGGCGCTAAAATGGGAAAGGGGTCCAAACTCATTTTTACCTTTGAGATTATTTTTCTGTTGTTGATTTTCAAAAATTTAAAAATTAATTTCTCTGGCTATACACACAATACATAACATGCTTGTTAATCCCATTTTTGTTGTATTTATCTTCTTCCTTTCTTTGTGGGAGACTGCTTTCATGGAGCTCAAAAGAGCTTGACCAAGCACCTCCTGGGGGTTCATTTTTGTGTCAGTGCAGGTTTGTATCAATGCTAAAATTGTGCAAGTAGCATTTTCAAAATGTATCTCGGATGGTGATTTTTAGAATATGCTGCATAGGGAAAGGGGAAAAAAAAGTCTTGGAAGTATGCAAAATACAGTATCACCATTGTAACCGAAAAAAGGTGAAAGACTAACAGCTGTATTCTTACAGATTTAAAGTGGCTTCATTTTAAATAAGGTAGTTATCTGGAACAGTCCTGGTTTACCCCTATTGTCTTAATGTAGAGCGTTAATAAGAGACTTTAATCGTGAATGCTTAACTGAACTTCGGTAGTCATTTAACATTTTATTCACCAAAAGTGTATTTTCTTGTCATTTCCTCCTATAATTACTGGGGGCAAAATACTATAATATTTAAAATGTGCTCAATGACTGGCATCCTCTTTACCCCAAAAAATGTTTGGATTTGTGTGATAAATAATGTCGTTTCCCTAGTTATGAGAACTTTATTTTCTACTAAGATTTAAAATAATCATCAGTGAGAGTTTGTGGTCTGTAGTCTCCAGTTTTATAAATTATAACCATCTATATAGCTGTGCTTTTAAAAATACTTATATACTTAGGCTTTTAAAAATACTTATTTACTATTTTTTTCCACTATCATAAACTACACTGAGGTTTTCCTTTTTTATGCAATTACTATTGACCCTTGGTTTTTATTTATTTATTTATTTATTTATTTATTTATTTTTTAATTGCAGGCTAATTGAGGCAGCAGAAGGGCAAAGTTGTTTGAAATGTAGGTTGGTAATTTTGGTAGTGGAAATTTAGACATTTGGAATTTTACCCAATCTATGAAGCCCACTGAGATGACGACAGACACATAAATTCATTTAAAGACCATGTATCTTTAAAAAAAAAAAAAACTTTTGTTATATCATACTCATATTAATTATGAGAATACAGTCATATTTTTCTTTATCACTCACCTTCTCTTTTTTTTTCTCATCTTTCATTTTTATTTTTAGTTGGCTAAAACACTCTCTCCATTTCTCCCCAGCAACCTCATTCTGGCTTCTTGCTTTGTGAAGTCTGTCTATGAACTTCTGTGGTGATAGAGTAAATGAAGTAGGAGTAGAGATTCTGTAAAGGTGAGTGTCAAGTACTGCCCTAAAAAATATGGAAAATTCTGCTGCTGGTTTCTTTTTGTCAACATTAGGATTTTGTTAAGCCCTGATCCATAGTGTTATGCTGTGTGCCAACTATTACCATATGTTCTTTTATTTATATCAGTCACTAAATGCTATCTTACTGGATGAATTTCACTAGGGGCAGGAAACCAGAGGCTGCAGCTACAGGGATGACATAGCGCAGGCCACTTTGAGACCGCCTCCCCAAGAAAGACTTTCCTGGAGAGCTAAAATTGTAGAGATATGAGTGGCCCAAAAGCCACAAGCAGTAATCAATCAACTAATCATAATTCCAAAGGATGAGATAATGTTCCCATAGTGTATCATTAGTGTGATGAGTTTATCTCTTTAAGGCCTCACAGCCTGCTGATACACTGTGGTTTTTCTTGGTCCTATCTCTTTATTTTTTACCACCTCTGATCTCTTTAAACCCACTCTGTTTCCATTTTCCTCCCTTCCCATTGTTTCCTCCTTTTTCCTTAACACTTCTTCCTTAGATTAATCTTTAAATACAAATGGAAATAATAATCGGATTATTTTTCATGAGGAAACCACCTTTCCATTTCATTATTCACAAATAGAATAATGAAATAAAGCTGTTTACAGAAATGCATATAGAAGATCAGACAAAAATGATATAGACCAAACATTGTTCTTGAATAGTGGTATCAAATGTAAAATTATGAATAAAATCTTAAAAGACTTTTGGTGTATTTTCATATTAAAGGGTTATTTTGCATTTATCAAGTATCACTGTTTGGGGGAAAATGTAATCAATTACAGTCGTTCCATATATTTCTTTTTTCCGCCTCCTGATTTTTCATGCTTGAAACCATCCTGGAAAGCTTCCAGAATTGTTACAAATGAAGTTATGCTTTGGTCAGTGTTAGTAAGGGCCTATGATCCATAGGCGTAAAACTCCAGGACAGGGATGAGTAGTTTTGTTTTCTTCAGCCTCTTGTAGAAATTCCACATTACTTAACTGAATAGACCCATTGATGAGTGGAGAATGGCTAAGAGTGGAAACAGCTCCACTCTCTACCTCTGTAATTTCGAAACAAAAAATTCCATTTGAGGGCGTTAATAAGAGACTTTAATCGTGAATGCTTAACTGAACTTTGATAATCATTTAGCATTTTATTCACCAAAAGGGAATTTTCTTGTCCTTTCCTCCTATAATTACTGGGGGCAAAATACCGTACTATTTAAAATGTGCTTACAGAAACTACTAGGAGGCAGAACTAGAAGCAAATTCTTCTTGGGTTCTTCCCTGGCTTTTCAGAGAGAGAGAGAGAGAGAGAGAGAGAGAGAGAGAGAAGGCCAGATATTTTTATTATAAATTCCCTGACAGAAATAAAGACATGATAAGATAAGAAACTCACAGAGTCAGTAACTTGTTCAGGATCACAAAGCCAGAAAGTGACAGAAATCTGAACCCAAGAAACCATGACTGGAGCCTGCTCTTTAAACCACTGTACTCTCCTGCCTCCTTGAAGTAATCAAGATGGTGTACATCATTTAAATACCATTTTACCATGAAGACTGTGGAGACCCTGGCACATAAGACCTCCATAAATTTAGTGAATGTTTTGCCTCTTAAATATAGAGATGAAAAAACATTATAATAGTTATTTAATAGAAGAAAGGATTCATTTACAGTTACCAGGGATACAGCTCTAGCAATCTTGCCTGTTAGGTCTTCAAAGAACTGATCATTTGAGAGGTGGAAAGGGGCTCCTCCTCTCCTGCTATACTCACTTACTGCACTTACCCATTCCAGCAGCTTCTACCAATACCTCCCGTCTTACCCTCCTGGGCTTTGGGGAAATTAAAGTAGCCTTTTAGGAGTAAGTCAGGGGTCTCAGGTCTAAGGAGCTGTTAAGTGAGCAATAGGTACTCAATAAACTAAGTATTATGAACAAAACTGTATATGTCTATGTAAGGAAGAGGGGTGGCCATCAGAATTTATGGTTTAGATGCCGTTTTCCTAGAAGTGATGTAAACGAACTCTTGCTACTCTATCTGCACTCTAATCTGAATCTACTTAAGGTGCATCAGTATCTGTACCAAGAAGGTTGTCTGTAAACATGAAAGATGCTCACTGGCTTGTGGGGAAGCTGAACCTATATCCTCAGCAAAATATGGTGATAGCTAACTCAGGGAAGCAGCCGTATTCCACAGCAGCATCTTCACTCAGTAGCTCTGGTTTGGAGCTCCTGCTCTGTGTCTATAATGGCCACAGATGTAGGAATATTCACTTTTTGTCCAATCTGTAGAGCTAGCCTACTGCAGTTCTCAAACTGATCTCAGAGGGAGGACTTAACTGGATGAAACTACTAGGCTGACAGTAGCACCTCTTGATTATCTTTTCCTTGGGCTACTGGGATGGTAGCTGGTTTCTAACTCCTTTCAAGTTGCTTCAATTCAAAACTGGTGTCAAGGAAAGGAACCTGCTGGTGCTGATTTATACATAATTTTTAGAATTATTCAGAAATGGTGAGTTGGACCAATTATTTTATTCCAGAGTTTTTCAATGTGTGATAATGGAAAAAATTCTGTATTCAAGGGAGTTCGGAAAATGCTGGGTTAAAAGAGTGAAAAGGTCTTCTCTTCTACACGAGTTTCAGAGCCTTTAACATGAAAATGTTCCGGAATGAGGAATCTAAGAGGACAGGAGAGTACCCAGTATCTCCCAGACTTGTTTGACCCCAGAATTCCTGTTTGTCAGAACATATTCTGGGACCACTGTTTCTCACAAGTACATAGTAGGTAAGAACATAGTGGATCCTGACTGCAAAAATCCAGCTCTACCACTTACTGTGGTCTCGAACAAAGTACTTAACTTCTTTGTACCTGTCTCCTCATCTGCCAAATATGGATAATAATACCTACTTTATAGGTTTATTGTGAAGATTAAATGACCATACACAACACACATCAAATTACTAAGTGTAGTATATGTTAGCTATTATTATTTTATTTATTCAGTGCTCTACTAATAATCTAGGCCCCATATACATCTAAAGTATAAATTTCAAAAGTGATAGAAAGTTCTTTGTGACTTTTCTGAACTAGGGAACATCTGAACTAGGGAATAGTATAGAGATCTTGGGTTTGGGGGTAAATTCAACAGAGTTTCCAATTTAAATCATCTGTCTAGTCAGTATGGCTGCAGAGTCATGCCGAAATGAAAATGTTGACTTTGAGTAACTAAAGGTAAAATAAAAGAAAAAGGGAAAGTGGAACAGTGGTAAGAGTTATTCTTGTATTCATCTAATTTAGACTTGGTTGAAATTGAAAATGTCAAGTTATGAGTAGTGTAGAACAGTAGACATCAAACACTAAAATTCCAGCTTTCTGGATTAATGCTGTGGAAAGAATGAAGTTGGTTGATAATGTTTAGCCTAGCAAGAAGGTGAAGAGAAAGCCATACAAGAAGTGGCTTAGGCAGCAAATGATAAAGGTGACCATTCATTCAAATCAGTGAAACAGACAAATATACCTTATTCTTTAGGTAAAATTGATGGATCTCTGTTTTCCAGCAGTTCATAAACAGAGGGCTATATTGTAAACAACAAACTAACAAAATAAACTCTAGGATGGCAACCTGTTAAGGCATCCCAGAAAATTAGAGGTAGGACATGAATTTAAAAGATTGGAAGGTATGTCTTCAGGACTGGCCTGGCCCTGAGTAGACTGGTGCTACCTCCCACAGGGGTGTGTGTGCACACATAATACAGGAGGAAAGCCTTCCATTCTAGGGCAAGTGATTCAGTTTGGGAGGCTGTGACTGAGTTCCACTCAGTAAAAACGGGAAACTTGATTGTCCTTCAACAGACCTGTCCAAAATGACTAGAAAGTAAATACCGTAAATCACTATTGTCAGGGCGCACATTCCACCTCCTTCCTCCCTTCCCCACAGCGGTCCTCATTTCCACACCCCCTCAACGGTTAGGGGAGAGCTCGTGGTCTAAGTAACGAGAGGACTTCTGACTGTAATCCTAGCACGTCACTTTGTTGAAGGCAGACACGTGGTTCAGAGAGAACTTATAAATCTCTCCTCTCCGGCAAGATCGTGATGTTATCTGCTGGCAGCAGAAGGTTCGCTCCGAGCGGAGCTCCAGAAGCTCCTGACAAGAGAGAGACAGATAGAGATAGAAAGAGAAAGACAGCAGAGCGAGAGCGCAAGTGAAAGAGGCAGGGGAGGGGGATGGAGAATATCAGCCTAACGGTCTAGGGAGTCATCCAGGAACAAACTGAGGGGGCTGCTCGGCTGCAGACAGGAGGAGGCAGAGAGGGTCTATTTTAGGGTGGCAAGTGCCTACCTACCCTAAGCGAGCAATTTCACGTTGGGGAGAAGGCAGGAGAGGTTGGGAAAGGGTGGAAGTCCAAGGGAGCCCCTGCGCAACCCCCTCAGGAATAAAACTCCCCAGCCAGGGTGTCGCAAGGGCTGCCGTTGTGATCCGCAGGGGGTGAACGGAATCGCGACGGCCGATCGTCTGTGGCTGGGTTGGCGTTTGGAGCAAGAGAAGGAGGAGCAGGAGAAGGAGGGAGCTGGAGGCTGGAAGCGTTTGCAAGCGGCGGCGGCAGCAACGTGGAGTAACCAAGCGGGTCAGCGCGCGCCCGCCCGGGTGTAGGCCACGGCGCGCAGCTCCCGGAGCAGGATCCGCGCCGCCTCTGCAGCCTCTGCGGCCCCTGCGGCACCCGACCGAGTCCCGAGCGCGGTGCGAAGCGCACCCTCCTCCCCGCGGCGCGCCGGGCTCGCCCCCAGCGCGCGCACACGCGCACACACACACACACACACGCACACACGTGTGCGCTTCTCTGCTCCGGAGCTGCTGCTGCTCCTGCTCTCAGCGCCGCAGTGGAAGGCAGGGCCGAACCGCTCCTTCTTTAAATATATAAATTTCAGCCCAGGTCAGCCTCTGCGGCCCCCCTCACCGCGCTCCCGGCGCCCCTCCCGTCAGTTCGCCAGCTGCCAGCCCCGGGACCTTTTTTCATCTCTTCCCTTTTGGCCGGAGGAGCAGAGTTCAGATCCGCCACTCCGCACCCGAGACTGACACACTGAACTCCATTTCCTCCTCTTAAATTTATTTCTACTTAATAGCCACTCGTCTCTTTTTTTTTTCCCCATCTCGTTGCTCCAAGAATTTTTTTTTTTTTCTTACTCTCCAAAGTCAGGGTTCCCTCTGCCCGTCCCGTATTAGTATTTCCACTTTTGGAACTACTAGCCTTTTTTTTTTTTTTTTTTAAAGGAATTCAAACAAGATACGTTTTTCTATTGGGCATTGACTAGATTGTTTGCAAAAGTGTCGCATCAAAAACAAAACAAAACAAACAAACAAACAAAAAAAACAACTCTCCTTGATCTATACTTTGAGAATTGTTGATTTCTTTTTTTTTTCTTCTGACTTTTAAAAACAACTTTTTTTTCCCACCTTTTTAAAAAATGCACTACTGTGTGCTGAGCGCTTTTCTGATCCTGCATCTGGTCACGGTCGCGCTCAGCCTGTCTACCTGCAGCACACTCGATATGGACCAGTTCATGCGCAAGAGGATCGAGGCGATCCGCGGGCAGATCCTGAGCAAGCTGAAGCTCACCAGTCCCCCAGAAGACTATCCTGAGCCCGAGGAAGTCCCCCCGGAGGTGATTTCCATCTACAACAGCACCAGGGACTTGCTCCAGGAGAAGGCGAGCCGGAGAGCGGCCGCCTGCGAGCGCGAGAGGAGCGACGAGGAGTACTACGCCAAGGAGGTTTACAAAATAGACATGCCGCCCTTCTTCCCCTCCGAAAGTAAGTACTCATTTTGACTTCCATCCCCCGAGGTTTAGCGCTGCCCGGAGCTCTCAAAAACGCAGCAGCTCCCGGAATCGCCCTTCCCTCTCGCGGTTCCCGTTCGCTTTTTTCCCGTTCTCCTGTCCTTCGCCCCATCCACCTCCTTTCCAGTTGTATGCCTGAGGCCACTAGGCTTTAAAACGTTTACTTTGTACTTTATTTTCTCCATCTTTCCCTTCCCCCTAACAATTCAGCGCTTTAAAAGGCGTTATTCTCTTTTTCTCTTCACTGAAGTTCTTTAGTCCGCCACCAGCTAGCAGTCAGCCCCACTCTGTCAAACTGAGGTGCTCCCAGGGGCAGAGTTAAACTGGGGAATCTTGGTAGGTTTGTTTTCTTTGCTCCGATTGGCGTGGAGCGCGCCGAACTGGTGCACGAAGGGTTAAAAAAAAAAGTGTCTCAAAGCTAGCCTCTCCGGAAAGCGCCCCCTTTCCGTGCTGACCTATCAACTGGTTCCCCAAGTCTTCCCTATTGTCTCTAACTCCCCTAAAAATGTCAGCATCGCCGAGACAAAACCCGGTTTGGAGACCCCTCGAGAAACCTACCTGGAAACCCTCAGTCCTTGATGTGTCGTTTGCTATCACTAGGTGTTTCATTACCCAAAGGCAAAATCCTATAACCACGTTCCCTTTTCACTTCACCTGGAGTGTAGAAAGGACAACTCCGTTTCTGACTGTTTTAAAAGGTTTTAGTTCACGTTATTTTTCAGAATACACTCAAACCTGCCTTCTTCAGATCTCCAGTGTAGCAGATCATTTTTCTTACGGGTCTGTTATCCTGCTCCTGCCTTTTCGTAGGCTTCCTGCACTTACTTCAATGCATTCCTAAAACTCAGAGTAGATGATAGCCGTTTTTTTTTTTTTTTTCCAAACTGGCTTCTCTGAGAACAGTGTCCTCAAAACCAGCTGGCATACGGTAGCAATAGGAGTGAAATGATTTATTGTAGAGGAAAGGAAGAGACAGTGTAGAATTATTTCAGAGTGAAAAAGAGAGAGAGAGAGAGAGAAGAAAGAAAAGAAAAGAGGCAGCATCATTCACTGATACCTGAGAGGGTTAAATACCAGGAAGAAGAAAAAGCAAAGTGGGGGCGGTGGGGGGTGGGGGGAACCTCTTCAACATTTGTGTATTCCAAATCGCAAGTCATAAACTTTTCATTGGTTGCTCATTTCTCTCCTCCCCTTTCCATGCCCTATATACTTGCTGGCTGCCTTTGCAAAGTCCCTGTGTCTTGCCTAAATAGATAATACAGCCATCTTGGTAATTTTATCTTAAAGGTTCTAATTGCAGGGTGATGCTTTTCTTTTTTAATATTTATTTTTAATTTGGCAAGTCCTAGCTATGTGACCTGCCATGTCTTGTACTTGATGGTCTCGGAAGTCAGCCCATGTATCTAACCCCAGTCTTCCTAGTGACCTTTATTTTGCTGCAACTTCTCCTGTTCTTGTTCAATAGCAGAACAGATGCAGAGAATTCTGGCAAGCAGGATGATTTTATTATTGTAATTATGGCGCTATCCATAACAGTGGTGATAAATACACTCCGCCCCTGGGTATCCCCTTTGAGAAGTAAAGTTTTCTATCTGGGGTGGAGCCAAGGAGATATTAGGAAAGAAAGTTCATTAATTAGTCCAGAACCATTGAGACAAACAAGGAGTTGAGTCAGTTTGCTTTCTCTAGCACGTGCATTGGTTCTACTGGTATTTGGGCAGAGCGGAGAGTATGTTATGTAGAACCTGAATAGCTCATCTTTCAATGTTTATATGCAAGAGGTCTAATAAACTCCCAGTGATTTTATAACACAGAAAGGAGCTCTGATCTCATTACTGAATAGGTGTGGAGAGAGCAAGTAACCCAAGAGGGCATTAGTTCTTTGTTCTCTCAAACACACTTCAGTCTGAGGAGCTGAGATGGTCCAACCCGGGGTCATGGTCATCAACAAACTGGAAAAATTTCTAGATTATTAGGAGAATTTCAGAGTATGGCATTTAACATCAATGTGTGGATTCTCCTCTCCATTTCACCCCAGCCACCAAATAAATGAAAACCTCCGATACATCCAGGATAAATAAAATATGCTGCCAGTTTTCATACAAAGAAAACAGGCTTTAAAAAGTCTGTATTCTGTGTGGAAGTTTAGGAGCAGAAAGCCATATTAATAGCAGGTTCGATACTACTGTGCAAGGACTGGATAATTTTATAGAAAATAGGTTAACTGATTTTCCAGCACTTTCTAGTTATACTGGAATATAGCAAACCTTTCCAAAAAAGAAAAAAGAAAAAAACGTATTTTTAAAAAGCAAATTGAAAGTACAATATTGGCTTATATACTAGCTTTCCCTCTTTAGGACTTTTCTGCCTAACTTTTAACTCAGCTGTCACTGAAGTGGCTGTGGGGAGGGAGTGTGCCTGCCATTCCTTGCAGTGAATCTGGCGAGGGTCATAAGCCCCAGAGATGAAGGCATGGGAAAGATCACTGGTTCATTTTTTACCACCAACTTATTAGCGTTCAGGGAGTGACTTCAGCTCAAGTATTACAAATATGCTCTAATTATACTCAATGAGCTATATATCATTACAGATTGCTGATAGCCCTTTGTGGGACATTTTATAAAGTTCAGACTACATATTTTTAGCAATGTGGAGATTTAAAAGTAAAAATATAAGAGATATTGTATATGCCCTCAGGCATATTTTGTCTTAAATATTATCCTTGGCCAAGTGTACTATATAAATACAGTAAATATGAATAGAACTGGCCAGGTGCCAATCTCCTAGGATGAATTTTAGTCAAGAATGTATTTATGGGCTATAAATAATACTGTGTCAACATTTAAAGAAGGAGTCTGATTAGTTTTGAATTTATTCGTATTGATCTTTTCACATGCTGTTAGTTTAAGACTCAAAGTGGAGTTATGCTAAGGTTTACCGATAGTTTGCCCACTGGGAATTAGTGGACCTCTAGTAGTTTAACAATCCATTTGAAGTTCGAGGCACATCTATTCGAAAGATGCTGCACAAGGTTTTAGAAACTTAGAAACGGTGATTCAGTTATACACAGGAAGAATTCAAATAATTGACATGTAAAAATCTGTAGAGAGTTGGACAATCAAAAAGAGGAAGAGACACAAAGTTTCATTGTCTTTCTTTTCTCTCCCCTTTTCACTGTAACCAGTCAGCACATGTTGTGGTTCTAACCCTGGTGATTTCGTACTGCCGCCATCCCCCTACCTCTACTCCCACTGGAACATTTGGCAATGTCCAGAGACACTTTGGGTTGTCATGACTGGAGGTGGAGGGGTGCTACTGGTATTTAGTGGGTCAGCCAGGGATGTTTCTAACCATCCTATAATGCACAGGGCAATGCCCCCTCCCAACACCAAAGAATTATCCTGGCCACCATGTCAGTAATGCCCCTGTTGAGGAGCCCTGGTATTTGTTTGGGGTTACTGAATTCTGTTAACAGTACCATTTAGAAAATAATAACAAAAATAAAATATCTTTATGATCAAAGGATATTCAAATGAGAATACTGAATAGGAGGATAGTCAGACACTTATCTTAATTAAATGGAGTGTGGATTAGACCATTGTATATGGTATGTACTTTATTTTTTGTGGTCTTAAATTAGAGACATCAAAACTTCCCATTTATTTAGCTTAAATGATGGTGTTGAGCTATCCATTACTAGCTTCAGTCAGCAGCAGTGTGATGTTAGAACAGAGAAAAAAAGAAGTGAGGTATTATCATGGATTCTCCTTGCAAGGGAAATAAGCAGTTTGTGTTAATAAAGAGTGGAATCTCCAAGCTAGGCAACGGAAGAAAGTAAATAATCATCTCGATTTATTCTACCATTTTGAAGTAGGTACACTGAAAATATACAGCCTGAAAAATCACAATGAGATTTCCTTTGTAGTTGTTTCACATGAATGTTAAACATTTAACATGAAGCAATCTCCTTTTCTATTTCCTCTGTAATTTTCCAAGTTAAATTGTGGAATGTAGAATGAATACCAATGACACTATGGTTTTGGGGAATGTGACTTAGCATTCAATTCATGAATATGTCTTTCTATATACAAGTTGCTGGTCTGTTGGCCAGTTGCCCAATGAAGGGAAATGTTAGCCATTGCTGGAACATAGTGGTATTTTTGCTTTATGTAGTAAGCATTTTTACTATTTTATTTTTTAGGATTCCCTGTGTGTGTGTTTGTATGTGGGTGTAAGAGAAACAGAAAGAAAAAGGAGCATATCAAAGACAGACTTGAACTCCTTGACTTCCAGAATGATTGAGTTATTAATACACAACAGACCAAACTTTAATTCTCCCTTTTTTATTGCATCGTTGCTTGTACTAACTCTAGTGCCTAATTGTGGTTACATTTAAGTTAGGCCACATGCTCCTCCTTCAGGATTTCCTCTTTTTTCACTTTTCAAAGACTAGAAAAACCTCTCAAAGAAGTATACTATTTATAACTAAAGCAGTTGGGTTGTCTGTGTTGCCAAGTGAGGCCAGCCAGCTTTATGCCTCTCCTGAGAAGACCCCACCCGATGAAAGAGGGGCTTTGCAGAGGTTGAGGGGCAGGTGGGGACCTCTCCACCTCACAGAAGGAAGAGGTTGGGGGAGGCCACTGTGTCTCCACAGCAACCCCTGTGGTCTACTCGAGGAGTTGCACTTTTTGAATGACGACTTCTCCCTGGAGAAAAGATGGTGATGTAACCTAGTCGCAGCATCTTTCATATAAAGATATGAAAGAATGACAGATCATTTTTCCTAGAGGAAACTGAGATGTGAAAAAAGGGCTAATGACTCACTGTTGAACCCACATCACATCTGGGTTAGAACCAAGGAGGTCACTGACTTGTAGTCCTTTGCCCAGAGATTACAACACACTTTAGGCTGCATATTTAGAAGGTTCGAGAAATTAGAGAGGAGGCTCCTGGACCTGGGAGAAGTGTGCAGGG